TGTCGACTCCTCCGAAGTCGGCTAACCCAGCACAGGTGAAGCCTCTCTGCCACTCCAATCCGGCACGGGCTACGGAAGTAGGAGCGTGTACCGAGGGACACTCTCTGACAAGGCATCCTAAGACAAGGCTATCCCGGATTCACCATGAATCATCCATCCGGGGGGTGCCTTCAAGGATCTTCACACTCCCCATGATCAACATGTTCGCTCTCTCAACATGTTCTCGCCAAGGTACAGCTCTGGTCGCAGCTCGGATGCAAGCAAACATGTCCAGGTCTAGTGCTGGCGCATGCCGAACTTGTGCTATGCTCGCATCAGTTGTCCCTGCCGAAGCCAAGGTACAGCCAGCGTCGACGCCAGTGACTGGGCAACGACTGTCACACAAGAAATGCCCTCCAAGGTTATGATGTGGCCGCAACTTCACTGCAAAAAAAAGCACGTCCCCCCTTACAGTGTACTTGCGTCGTGTGTATGTGTGCGTGTGTGTGTGTGCCATACTTACATCGACTTTTCTGACGAAGCCAAGGCAGAACCAATGCTGTCAAATGGAAGAGTGGAAAGGAGGCTGAGCCGAAAACCTCGAAAACGAATAAAGCAGAAAAGATGGAGCACGTGCTGCCTAGAGTCTTGTTCAGTACCAAAAGTAGGGACAATGCAAATCTGCAAGAATTCCTGCGGACGCCCCAAGATCACGCAGCCCACGAGCCCTCGGCCCAAGCAACAAGCAAACGCTACACGTCTCAGTCTTCGGGTGCAGCCGCCATGCGTTCTCTGGCGTCGGGCTGATTAACTCACTAATACATGCCCTCTCCCCCTTCCCCTCCTGCGAGTTGCTCTAACAATACAGCATTCCTTAAGGTCAGTCCTTCAACGTGGTGGTACACAGCGAATTCGGCCCACCCGTAATGCTCGCACTGCGAGCAGAAGCTACGGTGGACGACCTAAAGGCAGGCCAACTTCGCACTGTTGTCCTCGATGAACCCCCCCCCCCCCAAGCATGTGAATCTCAATATGCAGGCAATATGGTCCAACGCCACCTGGCTGGCTTGGCCCGCGACGTGCTTTTGCACCATCGGTCGGCTTCGAGTGAACAAGGCACGTAGACCAGCGCGCGGACACGGACGCTCAAGTCTCTTCCGCGCATCTTGTCAGGACCAACGCCTCCTGCCACTTCTCCTGCACCAAAGGACATACGTAGTCCACGTGTTTCACAACCGACGGCTCGGAGCGGGCTTTGCCCCCGCCCGCCTGTGAGAAAAAAAAGCTTGAAGGATTTGGATACGACCGAAACGCCCGGGATCTGTGCAGAAGCAGACAGAAGCACAATTAAGCCGCAGGAATCCATCGAGCACGCGGCTCAAGCCCCAAGCACGATACTAGTGACCCAGCGCCATCTTCATCTCTCCGACGAGGCAACGACTTTACTCCAAACTTGCAAACACGCGATAGCACTTACAGGCCGGAGATATGGCAACCAACGGCGCCGTCCCCAGCTTCTGAGACCATCAGCGTTGCAAAAGACCGGCGCGAGGCACTGGATAACAGCACAAAAGCACCGTGAGTGTGGGCTCAGGCACAACAACGCCGGGAGCAATGCTAGCAGCGCCGTCGACGCCGGCTTTAGCAGTAACCGCATTGAACAACCTCCAGGACGTTGTCACAGCAGACTCCTTCCTATCGCTGGAGCTCTCCATCGAACAGGAAAAGAAGGCACAGCGAGCCCTGACCATCGCTGAGAAGGTGCTCCTTCTGGCAAAGAACGAGCGCGACGCATGCAAGACGAGAAAGCTGATGGCGACCCAGGACGTCATCGAAGCTCGGACCACTGAAAAGGAGAAGACCCGCATCGCCAAGAAGAAGAGGGAAGAGAAGATGCAAGACGAGCGACCCGGCACCAAGACAACGACCAGGACAAGCAAGAGGCAACGCGCGACATCAAAGCCGAAGGCACGTCAGCATCATCGACACAAAAAGACCAGATCCGCAGCAGAAAACTCTGCAGAACGGGAGGATGAACCAGATGCAGAGAGCACAGAGCGCCCCGACGCCGCACCGCAGCTGGAGAAGAATGGCGATCGCACCGGCGAAGACCACGCCGGCTAGAACGACCACCACATCCTGCCGCCCGTCATGTCGCGAGCCGCTGCAACGAGAACTCCGGAAGATATGCCACAGATACCCGCTTGCAGTCTCACAGAAAGCGAACAAGGCAACTTGCTCGGTGTGCGGAAAAAACAGAACCCGCGCAGAGCAGTGCGGCAGATGCAAGTGCTCAGTGCAGGAGTAATGCAGCGCAAACATGCCCAAATGGCCATGGCCGCAGGCTCAAGCCGATCTGCCTCCGTGGGCGTTAAAGCGCAAAGCCACGGCATATACCGGACAGCTCATACCGCAAAGCAGACACGCACCCACCCAACCATGGCTTACCGTGCCATGCCGGGTCTCTACAGGGACATCGGCAAAGCTCTGGACAAGCTGCTTCAACAAGCACAAGGCACGCCACACAAAAAAAAAAATGAAATGCAGGTCGCAAGGGCCCAATCATGTGTCCCAACCTCGACCAGGTGAGCTCTCCATCGAAGGCGCTATGAGGTGGGAACGCACCTTCCGACAACTGGAGAGCATGGTCTCGGACATAAGTCTGGGACGACAGCAAGACGAGAAGCTCATCACTACGCAAGGCATCCAGAAGCTCCAAAAGCATCTCAGACTAGCTTGGAAATGCCGGCGACAGGCTGCACGAGAGCGCGCCAGTTCACGCCTTCGCCGCATCCGATCAGGAGCGAAGCCCAAAGCACCTGGGTACTCGCCGACGAATCGTGCACTGCTCACCAGCCTCCTTGCCTGACAAAAAAAAGAGGAAAATCGAACACAGACGCTGCCGTGCAAGTTTCCAGAGCAGCCAACCAGATCCCGGTAGAAGTAGCAATAGGAGCAGTAGCAGCAGTAGTAGTACTAAATCGCGACGACAACACTAAAACGACGCTAGCAACGAAACATGCGCCCGGCAGCCCAGTGCGGCTCATCAGCTCATGTCTTCACGCACAAAAAGATTCTCGCACCAACACACCCAGCCTAGGTGCCATGCCGTAACAGAAACAAATCAAGCCAATGATACAACACTCACACATCAGAGACTTTTTTGTTTAAAAGATGCCGTTCATCATCTGGCACGACGCTCACGAGGCAAGCTGAACCAATGCCACGTCAGAAACGCTGCGGTAACCCATCCCGCACAGGTATCCTATATGCTAGCCGAAGAGTACATGTGGGCCACGGCGGACTGGCTCGATCCGGCGGCCAGAGTGCATGCAGCCAAGACCTGCAAAAAGCCATTCGAGCCAAGGAGCATAACTACACGGTCACAGCAGAGGCACGCTCCAACAGCAGCAAGCAAGCCAAGAGACGACCCGAGCTCGCGCCAAGGAACCAGACCTCCTCCACTCCTTTCGCTTCGTGGGTCCCACGAGAGATGAAGCAGAGGCCGGGATGTCTACACGAACAACACTCCCCCGAACAAAACGGCCGAGGCACGTCGCGCGGACGAAGAGCTTCAGGCGCACCTCCAGGACACTACCGTTTCGCGCCACTGGACACTAGCACCGATCGACGAACCCCAGGACACAGTGGGGACACAATCCTGCGACCACGCCGAGGCGGAAAAGGGAGCAAAGAGCCACGCCAGCAAAAGCACGCAAGCTAGCACTGCGAAAGGCCAGCGAAAGCGCTCCCGAAGAGGACGAGAACGGAGCAAGCAGCGCCAGCAGCAAACTGACTGCCGTCGAAGGATTCCCGCGACAGTGACAGCGACTCCGGGACATCCACAGCGGCACTTCCCGGATGTGCGGGCCTCAAGGCTATCCGACAGAGACTCACGCAGCGACACCCGCTCTCAGGTCGAAGGATGACAGGCGAAGCTCGCTGCGAGTGCGGAGCCTGCGCGATTGCGGGCCGCAACCGATTTTAACACCGCGCCTGTTTCGGACAAAAAAAAAAGAACGAGACCGGGAACAAAACGCAGCGTCACAACAGCATGGACTGCCATTACCGCGAAAAGACCCCACAGACGCCACTGCCACTCGCGCAGCACTGACCGGCTCAAGCGAAGCAGCAAACCCAACGCTGTGCACTCTTTGGCTCCAACCTGAACAGCCATGGACCTCCTGACACCGTCGGACGCCGAGCGCCTGCACCCAAGCGGCCTAATCTACCTCGCCAATGTCATGCGGACCAAACAGGACATCGGCCGCTGGAGTCAAGCACTGCGGCAATGGCGGCCGCCGCGAACTCCACTGAGAGGGCACCTGGAGAACAACAGTCTGGACGAGCACGACGCAGCTGAGATCCTGCAGGCCATCGGCGGGGACGTGCAGGCGGTGTACCTGCACCACAACAACATCCGAAGCCTGGAACCGCTCACGCCCTTCATCGAGCAGCACTGGGAAACCCTAAAGGAGCTGCACCTGAGCCACAACCGACTGTCCACGACGGAGACGAAGGCCTTGCTCCTTCTGCTCGGCTGCACGAAGGTGAGCGCCGCCGGAGCCGAAACCGCCGGCAGTTGCTCCTGGCTGAGGTTGGAGTTCAACCACATCGACGTGGACGGACTCCTGAAGCAGCTGCCCTCGCAGATCAAAAATAGACTACAGCTCAGCGACAGAGGATGCACTCCGAGACACTGCTGTTGCCAGGGACGACGGTACACCAAGCACATCCACTGCAAGTTCTTGACAGAGCAGCGCACAATCATGCCGGAGCACAAAATCCATCATCGCGATCACCGGCGCGAGCCAGCTCCCTCACGAAGTCGCTGCCAAGACGACGAGGAGACCCAGGACAACCCAAAGACTGTAACTTAAGCAGACCAGCTAGACGAAGACCAAAGCCACAGCCACGAAAAAAAACAACCAACCTGTCCAGAAGAGCAGCGACCCAAACCCTTCAGCCCGACCTAAAGACACACAAAAAAAAGATCAACACCAAAGTCGTCCTGCCACAGCTCTGCAGCAGGAACCGCGGCCAAGCATCTCATCGGTATAAGCAGCCCGGTTTCACCCGAGAAAAGATATGCACACAGTCCGTAAAAGCCCGGGCAATGCCATCGGCAGCCAGCGCTGACAGAACCGGCAGACTAGCAGCATGCAAGTCCGACTGCCCGCCGCCGCGAGGCACAGCATGTCCCGCAGCCACGTCAAGCCAAACACGCGTAGACCGCATGAAGGCCTACCGGCAAACAGCCCCCGCCCCGCAGCGGCAGCCATGGCGACGAACGAGGCGACGACGAGAGCGCCGGGACAAACACCCGTGGCCTCGAGGGCAGCAGAATACCAATGAAAAGATGAAGCACGTCATCAAGCAGCACTGGAAAGACGAGCAAGAGTACACCGACGCGAAGACGCTCCGGCCCTTCCTGCTAGCACTGCTCACGTCCTCGGAGTCCGGGTACTCTCGACAGCAGCGACTCTGGCAGGATGCATGCTGGTTCCTCAGCAAGCAGCGCAGAGCTCAGGCGGAAACAGTCAATGTGCGCAGCATAGAACGACACAATTGACCTCACGGGCGGAGTTGCGAAACACTCACGTCACGCTCTGTCCACCGCCAAGGTGCGCAACAGCTGGCGGCGGTCGCCAAAAAGCGGCATGGGACGAACTTCCGACGCGACTCCGCAAGATGCAAACCGAGACCTTATCGGCGCGGTCGGAGCCGGGACACCCACGACAGCAGCACCTCTGGCAGGACGCGTGCTGGTTCCTCACGCAACAGCCTGCGACTCAGAGAAAAACCCACAGATCACGCAGCATGCACACGGTAAAACTAACACCCACAGACACAGCTGCACGTCGGTCCCATAACGATATGTCCACCCCCAAGGCACGAAGCAGCCCGCGACGGTCTCCAGAAAGCAGCATGGGACCGACTGCTGACGAGACTTCACCTGATGCAGAACGAGACCAAACAAGCGGGACGTCGCATCGTACTGCTCAGAGCGCAAGGCTAAAAGCCACGCACATAGGCAAGCTCTCAAGAAGCTCCCCAGACCAGATGCCGGTGAGCCGGTACATTCTGTTTCAAGCTTTGTGCTCCAAGCCGAGCTACACACTCGGAGACGCCACCGTCAGTCGCGATGGCAGCTCAAGAACAGCAAAATTAATCCGAAAGTGCTTGCTCCTTTGCATGAAACCACGCCGCCGTCACCGCCGACACATCCTCGGAAAGCCGGCTAGCTCGTAAAAACAAACGGCTTCGAGCGATACCAGCCCCTGCTCTCGCCGGCCGACAGGCTCAAGCCTTGGATACTCTCGAGAGCCCTCGCAGCCTAGAAGCAGCCACACAGAAGAGCGGCATGGCACGCAGCAGAGCTCACACCTGCGTCCCCTCCACGAAGAAACAGCGCTGCAGCACCGGTGGAATCAGACTGAGATCACGTGCCACCACCGGCGACGCAGCCGGGCGCGAAGACGGCTCGGATCTCGTTGCCACCATCCGACGCTGGGGAAGCACCTTCGGTGTCTTCGAGGACGGCTCCTGCGGGGAACCGTTCTGGCAAATCCAGATCGCGCAAAAAGGGCGGCAAGCTTTTGGCTACGACTTGCTGGCCACGTGCAGAGAAGCCTTGCAGAACCACCCCGACACCGACATTCGCACCCTAGCGCAGCTGGAGGCCAAGATGCACATCAGAATCCTGGGCGGGGCCCCTCCCATAACCGGGCCATCGGATCCCGACGAACTGGGCATACAAAACTGGCAACCCGTGCTGTACGCCCCCACGCCAGAGGACGCGCTGAACCTGGTCCACTTCATCACCCGGCACAAGGTGACCACCGGGCAACTTCTGGAACTCCCGCACTTCATCGCCTTGTTCCCATGCAAAGACTCCGCCAGCGTACCCGCACCCTGGATCGTCCACGACGAGCACCCGCTGAAACACCTGCCATTCCAAGCGCTCCCGCCGCGAGGCCGCCGACATGTGCTGTTACAAGTCGAACTGGAAGGAGCTGCCGATGAAACGACGACCAGGCCAGTCGTCAACGAGGAAACGAGCCAGAAGGTACCCGACGCACCACAAGCCGGCCAACAGTACAATCTCATGATCTTCGGCGGCATCTGGGTACTCCGGGAGCTATTCGACGCCGCTAACATCCAGGGCGGCACCATCTCGTTCCCGGACAGCGCAAAAACCCAATACGTTCGGCATTTGAAGCTCAAGTTCTCCGAAGGCCACAAGCGCCGACTCCAGAACATCCTCGAACAAGTCCTGCTGCACATCCCCATCTCCCTGATCGACAACACAGGCGTCAAGACGGATCCCCTGATCGACTGGTTGCAACAGCAACCGTCCGTACACCTGAGCGAAAAAATCTGGTAGGCAGCGCCGCGAGGGCACTTCGCAAACACAAGCCGAAGGGCTGCCCGAGCGAATGCCGTGCCTAGTACAGAGTCCATCTAACAGCAGGCGTAAGCCTCGAAGGAGCAAGAATTTACACTGCCCCGCTATGAAGCCGAAGGCAACCTGCTCGCAAAGCAGAAAAAGGGAGCAAGCCGGGGATGTCAGTTCGCAGCACCCACCCCGTGGAGCCAGAGCACAGACAGTATCAGATGCCACCAACCTTCGTCGCAGCCAGACGACCTTGCGGCTCAAGCTCGAAACCCACCCAGAGAAAACGAGAAGACAGGCCAAGCAGGCATGTCCGACCTCGACTGCCACGCGCCCTGGCAGCATATCCAAGAGAGCAGCAGCGAGGGCGATGAGATACAAGCAGCGGTGTTCCGCAAGCCACCAGCACCGCAGTCGCCGCGTCAGAGCATCACTCGGGGCACTTTTGCATTCCGAACGCCACCGAAGCCCAAAGACAACCGTCTCCGCCGCCTAGTGCAAGCGGAACGACAAGAGCTTCGAGTCTTCCTGCACGAGAACCCATGCCCCGCGAAGAGGCTCGTGCAGCAATGGCTGCTAGACGCGGCAAGCAGCGCAGTCCGCGGAGAACCCAAACCGCGGACCCTCGCAGGGCTACTAGAATGCAATGGATGGACGTACGAAAGCCTCGGCTGGTTTCACTACCGTTCCTTCGCCGACCTCTGGCGATCCGGCACGACTGCATTCGCAGCCAGCGTCGACGCACAGCGTGCAGCCGGCATATGCCTCTACCAACGAGGAGGAAGAGAATGCATGCAGTCCAACTACTATGTGCTCCACTACGCGATGTGCGGCGAGGACTTCGTCGCCAACCCTCCACTATCGGCCTTCGGCTTCGTCAACCGGATCGAGAAAGCGTGGGACGGCATCGGGTCCTGGAAGGCTTGAGAACGGGCAAGGAGACGTGCAGACCACCGCACCCGATCTCAGCACTCCAACGCAACAGGAAAACAAAAAGTTCACGAGCGAGGGTAAGTCGGAGTTTCGCAGAGCCCTTCCAGATCTCGATCCGACGATCGGCCGCAGCCATAAAAAAAAACACTCAAGCCGAATCTCCACCAGAACAAGCTAGAGAAGGGGCAGCATGGCTCCTACGACATCGGTGCCTCGGACACGCACACACTCCACAGCGCAACCGAAGAAATCGCAGATAGTTGCTCCAACCACCCGTAGCACCAGTGACGCAAGCTCAGCGCATCTCAGGAAGAAAGACCTGCGCCCGCCGACGCGGTGAGCGCAGAAAAAGCAGAAAGCTCGCCAGTCGAAACACAAGGAGCGGTACTGAGCTGCCAAGCCACGCAAATGATGACGGCGGTCAGCGCCCCAGACCAGTGCCTCAGCAAGGGAAACAGGCCGAGTGTCCAGCTGAAGCGACGCTCGACTGCAATCCCCCCCCCCCCCCCAAGACACAAGAATCACACGGCGACCAAGGCCACGCAGACAGACCAACAACAACCCGACGAAGATCCTGCCGCGCCAACCAAGCCTTCACGTCAAGCCCCTCGATCAGCACAAGACGGAAGGAGTGACCAACAAACAACTTGCCCAAAGCTCCGAATCCGGCATCGACAAATGCCTGCATGCGAGGTGATGCCGCAGGAAGACGGCGCGGCACAAGCAGATGCCGACGGGATGAAGGACATGTCGCAGAAAATGCCGACACTGGGAAACCGGATCATGGTGCGGAAAGAAGGCTGGGTCGCGCTGATACTGAGCGGCACAAAAACCATGGAGCTGCGCAGCCAGCCAGCAAAAACAGGACCAATCTGGATTGGATTCGAAGGTCGCGTCTATGCCCACGCAGAAATTTCAGACTGCAGGCAGATGTCGCAGGAGATCTACGAAGAAACCAGAGCACAACACCGCCACATGGGCAGAATGAACCAAGGCGACTCGCTGTACGGCTTGGTGCTGACGAACCTCGTCCAACTAGCGCATCCAATCGACTACTACCAGAAGCCCGCAACGGTGCTCTGGGAGAACTTCAGGACTGGACCGGAAGAAAAGCTCCCCCACCGCAGAGCTTCAAAGCGCGCACAAGAAATGCGGGCTTTACAAGATGCTCGCGAGGATGACGAAACCTCGGAAATCGACGAGAGCCCGGGTGCAAGAACACAGAAGAAGAAGATCGGCGGGGAAAAGACGGCGGAGACGCCACGCGGCCAAGCACGTAGCGACAAGGAGCATCAACAAAAAGACGCCGGCCTCGCAAATCCGCCCTCCCGCCAATGTAGACGAAGCCCGACCAGGAAAATCCGAGCTCCGCGTACCAGACGCCCAGCTGCAGCAAAAGTGGCGAACACCCACTGGGAACGGCGCCCCGAACACGCGCCGAGACCTAAAGCGATGAGCCTCTGCACAAAGAAAAGGGAGCGCTGCAGCTCAGACCGCAAAGCATGCTAGAAGGGTATTGCAGAAACTGCCACCCCAGCCGATCGCCACTGCAGCTATTTTGGTTCAAGAGCCCTCGCCTCCAAGCACCTCAGAGAAGGCAGTCCAGCGCGAAGATGGCCAGCAAGGAGTCCAGGACACGGAGAATGCCACGACGGACGCCGTGGGCAGACATTCAGGACAAGAAAGGGGAACGACAAAGCGCCAGAGTCGTGTGGCATCCCTGTGCTCGATCAGGACAGCGACTGCTCCACAAAGGCCCGCACCGCCGCTGTGCCGGCTGCACAGGCCACGCCACCAGAGAGCCCCCCCAAGAAGAAGCCGCGCTCGCCAGGAAGAGAGCACGTCAGCTGGCTCGACACGCGACGGCAAGGAAGCTCACAGACCCAAGCCGCGCAAGAAACCAGAACGAACCGCGACCAACAGGGCAGCTGACACTCATCCGACAGGAGCCGCACAACGACCACAGCACGCAAGACTCGATGCCAGACGTCCAGACGGCAGACCAGAAAACTCGACGCGACCGCAGACGGAGGACCACGCAACAGCCAGGCCCCCAGATGGAACCACGCCATCGAGATCAGCCGTCTGGCTGTGCCCTTACACCTGAGGAACGCGACCACTGCCTTCGTGGATAGATGCCAGAGCCCAACAGCGCCGAAACCCCGCCCGGACACCCACGTCGAGCCAACATGGAGTCGGAACCTCAGCGTCCCAATGTCCACGGCCCCGCCTCTAGAGGCCCCTGCACAGTAACCACAGTCGCACGACAGGTGAGCCGCAGGAACTTGGTTGCGACTACACTCTTCAGGAAGAAGTACGCCAATTCGTCAGAGCAGTCATGTACCGCGAGCTGGAACAAGAACAGCTCGCATGGTGGCAGTACAGCCTGAAGGAGCGCTGCCGCTACCACCGCTTCCCATGCCGAACGTGGTTCGAGCTCGTCTACACATGGCGCCCTGCTATACACTCTCCAGAGCCAAGACCCAACGAAAAGGCGGAACGACCACAGCCGCAGGAGGTTCTCGCGGAAAGCTTCTCACATCCACGAGGCCCGCAGCCTCAACACGCCCCGACCTACATCATCCCGTGCTACATCCCCGTCCTGCTGAGCTACGAACACAACGGCTCCTCTGCGCAAAAACCCGGCACTCACATCCACAGAGTTTGACGACGAAGCCTCCATCTGCGACGAACAGTAAGACCACGACAGACAGAAAGTGCGACGGTAAAAAAAAAGGCGTCGCGCATCAACAAGCAAAACAAGGAAGGACAGCATGGTCTCCGCGCAGCAACCCGATGTCCAAAATCCCAAGGCTCACAGCGCCAGAGCAGCCACCGATCAAAAAAAAAACAAAGACAAACCAACCACCACAGGAAGCCTTCGACGTATCGCGGCAATCAAGCCCTGAAACAACCACATCCAAAGTAGCATGCTCTGTCGGCTCAGCCACGGTCACGGCAAATAGCAGCCATCGCGCCACGCCATGGACGAAGGTGTTGCGGTGGTTCCGCGCGGCGACTCATCGCAGGCAGACAAAGAAGAGACGTTCGCAGAACTAAACGACGAAGAGCACGAAGTAAGCCTCTTTACCGAAGGCCTGGACTACCTGCTGCCGCTCAACTTGGTCAGAAGCCCCCAAGCACCGACGAACTTTCCATTGCGCCCACATGGACCCCTACCCACCAACCTGCCAGAGAACTTGGTCAGTGACAGGCTACAGCACATCCACCCCCACGAACGAGACGTACACCTACGCCTCGACAACTCCACGCACACCTACTTCTGGCAAAACAAACGAGTGATGATATCGGTAACGCAGATTATCCACAAGTATGCGGACAAGTTCGATCCGGACCAGACGCTGAAAAACATGTCAGAAGGAAGGCACTGGCCGCGGGCCGGGTATCTCAAAACCGACATCTCACCGGACATGGAACGCAAGATCAACCAGCTGCGCGCAGGCCCCCGCATCCTGGCCATGCTCCAACAAAAGAAAGCCAACGATGAAGAGCTGAACCAGCATCTACGCATGGCGCTGCAGCAAGCGAACCCCACGGAAGCAGCGACTCTCCGAGGCCTCGCAATGTCGAGCAGCGACGTGAAAAGAAAGTGGGAGACCGCCCGAGACGAGGCGTCGCACGAAGGGACATGGATGCACGCCCAGTTCGAGTGCCTCCTGAACGGAGGAACTGTTCCGGCCATGACACCAGAGATAAGCCCGCTATGCAAGTTCCTCGAAAGACTGCATCATGCCACGATCTACAGGACAGAGTGGAAGATCTACGCCGACGACATCGACGTGGCCGGCAGCATCGATTGTGTCTTACAGAGAGCGAACGGTAGCCTGGAGCGCGTGGACTGGAAACGAAGCAGCAAAATAGCAAGCCGCGGAGAGCACTTCGGCCGCTTCATGAAGCCACCTCTCGACCACTTGGCGGACAGCACCCTCTCCCACTAGCACCTACAGCTCAACGTCTACAGATGGATTCTGCAAAACCATTACCGCCAGATCGTGACAGAGATGTACATCGTCGGAACGCACCCCGACAACGGACACGAACCCTGGATACAACAAGTAGATATCCTGGACGACGAAACAGCACGGCTCGTCGCCGATGCAGCGCGAGAACGGACCACTCGCCGCAGACAGCCGAGCCAGCCCGAGCACGTGCAACCGGAACGCCCTGAGCACAACGGAGCCGAGGAGACATGCTCGAACTATGACAAAAAAAAGGGCGCGAAGGCCTCCATCGTATCCTTCAGCTCGCAACTTACGGACCATGCAAAACAAATCAGACGAAGTGTGCAGCCTACCGCAGCCTTTTGCCCAGGCGAGTCGCTAACGCCGTAGCTCAGTCAAGCCCCACGCTTGTGACATACCCAGCCCCGCATGCCAGTACAAAAATGAGAGCAGCATACACAACAACACATGCCCACGTACCGCTAACAAAAGCCAGTCTGAGAAGAAAACACGAATCAACGACCCAAGCTAGGCGCCTCGCAGAAAAAATGCCGGCCCTCCCCCCCCCCCCCTCCCCCGCCCTCCGCTTAGCAAGGAACACCAACAACAAGCCGATCGCCATCGAATCCAAGAAGGCCAAAGCGGAAACGCAAACACCCTCAGAACGACGGCCGGACAGCAGGAAGAATGTGACGCAGGCAACAGCCGACGGCCCTGCAGAAAAATAGGGCATGACAATATGAGACGCCCGAACCACACGAAGAGTGAGACGCAGCCAGGGGCCGAAGGGCCTCCAGATTGTCACGGCATGACCATCTCAGCGCCCCAACAACACGAAGAGTGTGACGCACGCAAGCGCCGAAGCACCCACGATTGTCACGGCGCGACAATTTAAATTGTCACAACGCAACAATCTGACCCCATACCCCCATCCAGATTGTCACAACGCCACAATCTTCCCGCAACCCCCCCCCCCCCCCCCTCTTTCCCTTTCCCCCAGATTGTCACGACGTGACAATTCTGCGGGAGAAAGCCCAAGATCATCACGCCAGAACAATCTGGAAGAAGGCCACATTGTCAGGGCATGACAATTTGTTTTTCCCCACACCCCCCCACTCCAATTGTCTAGCATGACAGTTGAAATGCGACACGTGCCCAGATTGTTCATGCCCATGACACTCCTGCTCACACCTCCCACCCTCCCCCCCCCCCACCCCCCCACCCGCCCCCCCCCCATCCCAGATGTCCTGCCATGAACGATCCTCCCCCCCGCGCCCCCCCCCCCCCCAACACCACACCACATGACAATCCCCTCCACATCATATTGTCACGACATGAACAACCCCCCCCCCCCCCTCCCATCCCTGCCCACCCCCCTCACGCCGGATTGTCACAACGCGACAATCTGGCAAGAAAAAAAGCCCAAAGATTGTCACACTATGACAATGTGGAGGAAGGCCACATTGCCATACCATGACAATCTCCCCCCCCCCCCCGCAGATTGTCATAGCGTGACAATTTGAAGGCAGCTACATGCGCATGCCCAAATTGTCATGCCATGACAATCTGCCGGGAGAAAGCCCAAGATTGTCACGCGCTACAATGTGGGAGAAGGCCACATTGTCATGCCATGACAATCTCTCCCCCACCTCCCCAGATTGTCATAAATGACAATCTGAGTCGACCAGATCCCCAGATTGTCATGCCAGGACAATCCCACCCCCCCCCCCCCCCCCCCCCCCCCCCTTCCCAGATGTCCATGAAAGAGCAATCCTGCCACTCCCCCCCCCCTCACCCCCCCCCCCAGAGTGTGATGCAGCTAGGTTCGAAGGATCTTCAAATTGTCACAACACTACAATCTGGGGAAGGGAGGGAGGGGGGGGGGGCGGGGTCACCAGATTGTCATGGCTTGACAATCTGGCCGCCGCGACCACACGAAGAGTGTGACGCAGGTGGAGCCCGAAGGGGGCCCAAATTGTCGCGAAATGACAATTTAAATTGTCATGCCGTGACAATCCCGCCCCCCCTCGCCCCTCCCCCGCCCCCCAGATTGTCACGCCACGACCATCTGGGGAAGGAACAGGCCCAGGATTGTCACGAAATGACAATCCAAATTGTCATTCCGCGACAATTTTTTGGAAGGCAGGGCGTGACAATCCGGGCGGCTCGGAGACACACAGTGCGCTTTTTGGGTTCGCACTTGCCCCCGAAAATGGCGATGGTGAGCATCCTTGTGGAAGGGAGTGTGGCCCAACCGTAGCATGGCTGCGGCGACCCATTCTTCCGAACCGGCCTCCACATACCTAAAAAGGGCCGAGGATGTCTTCCCGAGCACTTTCGAAAGGCTGCGGCCACACTTTCGGGGTGCGTGCCACGGACGCGCTTTGCGCGAGGATTCGTTCCTACTGGATTCGTTCCTCAGTGCCACGGGCCGGGATCTTCCGTCCAACCTGTCAAAGGGAACGCGTGTACGCGAGTGCACGTTACTACCGGGCTGTCGACTCCTCCGAAGTCGGCGAACCCAGCACAGGTGAAGCCTCTCTGCCACTCCAAGCCGGCACGGGCTACGGAAGTAGGAGCGTGTACCGAGGGACACTCTCTGACAAGGCATCCTAAAACAAGGCTATCCCGGATTCACCATGAATCATCCATCCGGGGGGGGCCTTCAAGGATCTTCACACTCCCCATGAACAACATGTCCGCTCTCTCAACATGTGCTCGCCAAGGTATAGCTCTGGTCGCGACTCAGATGCAAGCAAACATGTCCAGGTCGAATGCTGGCGCATGCTGAACTTGTGCTAAGCTCGCATCAGTTCTCCCTGCCGAAGCCAAGGTACAGCCCGCGTCGACGCCAGTGACTGGGCAACGACTGCCACACAAGAAATGCCCTCCAAGGTTATGCTGTGGCCGCAACTTCGCTGCAAACAGCATGTCCACCCTTACAGTGCACTCGTGTCGTGTATGTGTGTGTGTGTGTGTCTGTGCCATACTTACATCGACTCTTCTTACGAAGCCAAGGCAGAACCTTCGCACTAACACTCATCTAGCATGCACCATAAGGCAGAGCCCATGCGGGCCAAGCCGACAAGAAGTCTCACCGAACAGCAAACGCATCGGTCCAGCACACCGACAAAAAAACAATGCAGGCTGCTGCAGCACTCACTCAGACGCCGCTCCACTGCTCGACTTGACAAGCACAGACACTCCAAACGTCATACGCCTCCGGAGCCGTGGGCTCAAAAAGAAAGCAGACACTGTCCAGCACCCTCCTTCTCTCCCGAAGCACCTGCGCCAAGGCAGGGTCGTTGCAAACTCCGGCTGTAAACCTTGAATATCATCAGCACCCACTTTGTCTGCAGATGGGGAACCGCCTCGACGTGGAAGCAGAGTTCGACGGCACGCCGTTCAAAGCCAGGACCGAAACCTAGACGACGCACAACATCACATCCACGTCCATGCCTCTCCCCTGCTACCAAAGGTGCGACAATCAGTGGTGGTGGCATACCAGCGGTCGCTGGTACCTTTACACTGCTGCTGCTTAGCCGCACACAAAACCGCCCACACACACACACACACGCAAACGCACACACACACACACATACACACAGACACACACGCAGCTGCTAGAGTTTCCCAGACAGCCTCGACCGCAGGAGGAAACCTGCGACTGGGGGGCGGCAACCCTCGGGTGGTGTCGATGGACACCCGAGGGGGGCTTGGACTTCAACGCTCGAACCCGAGACATGCCAGTGCAGAACCGCAAAAGCCGAAACACAGCCACCGAGCGAAGTGTTCGAGCCCAGGATTTTTGGCCCGACTACAAGTACATGTAGTAAAGAGTTCCGATCTCAGCTGAACGCATCCACAGTGCAACCAGATCAGGTTATATCCACAGGATGTTCAGATCAAAATCACTCCGTGTGTCCCCACCGTCGCCGAGGCCGGCCCGCTGCAGGCGTTGCGCGGAGCCTCTACGACACCACGAAAAAAAAAAGGCCAGTGCATCGCAGAGAGGAGCCGACTGTGAGGCCATCATGTCGGAAGCACCAACATGCATATACAGACACTCCAAACGTCATGCGCCCCCGGAGCCGTGGGCTCAAGAAGAAAGCAGACACTATCCAGCACTCTCTTTCTTTTCCGGAGCACCTGCGCCGAGGCAGGGTCGTTGCAAGCTCCGGCTGTAAACCTTCTTCCTGCACGCAGTGGGCGCCCTCTCTTTGAAGTAACTCACCGCCAGCATGACTACGATGTCAAGCCAGCGGTGCTGGCGCTGGAGCGCTGAGAAGCCCGGTCGATGGGAGGCCATAGCCAGTGCATGCCGTTTCTCTTGCACACTCGGTGCTGCGGTATGGCGCTACACAGGTGGGAGCCGTGCCGTGGAACCTCGACTATCCCGATTTCTTTGATGCCTTCCTGACTGACCTCCCGGAGCCGCGCGTCGGGTTCCCATTTAGACCATGTTAAACGACACGAGAACCAGTTGTGTGTGTTTCCTGCAGTCAGGCCCACATTTGGGAACGCCACGAAACGCAGGAACAGCACTACCTGTGCTACGAGCGACTCCAACCAGGCAGTATAACACAGCCATGTTCCCGCAGACTCACTTCCCGAAAAGCAAAAGCGTCACACTAACGACAGGGGTGCCGACGTACTACCACGGATGCCCTCCTCACTGCATCACGGGCATCCTGCGTAGTGGTCTGAAGCCATCGAGCGCGGGCGACTTAATTTGCTGCACCTGGAATCACCACACCGACACCGAAGAAGTGTTGCAGCCCGCCTTACGCAGGTAGCAGGACAGCATGAATTCTGGCGGGCGGGCATCTACGTAACGCCGTCGTTTGAGACGGCGTGCTGGTATGCTACGCCGACGCGGTTGCTTGGATTCACAAATGTCACGCAAGCGTCACTGTCCGAGCATCAGCGATCAGATTGACCACGAGCAACCTGCGCAGGTTGGGCCCCGTGCCGACTGAGGGCTACCCTCCATACTG